TTGTCTGGTACAATAAAACACACTAAAACCATCTTCCATGCATGTCTAATCAGTATAGGACACAGAAGTAATTAAAAAGAAAACTGCTCCAAAAAAAAATAACCTTAACCTGGGACGCCGACGCCGACACCGACGCCGAGGGTATCACATAAGCTCCCCCCAACTTCGTTGAGGTGAGCTAAAAATGCAGGGTACGTAGGGAAAAATTTTTTTTTTTTTTTGAAAAAATTTTTTTTTGCTTCTTTAATCAAAAAATCAAAACATGTATAGAATTAACATTAATGACAAAAGAAATGGTGTTTTTAAGCATTTCTGTGACTTAAACTGATAATAGAAAGGTGACCCAAAATTCTTTCTGTCTTGAAAAGCTTGCAAAGTTGGAGACTATGATTCCCTGGATGTAATCTTGCACAGCATGGGACAAAGCATTAAAAAAATATTTAGGGTCGGCACTATAAATTAGGGTCGGTCTGGAAAGGGGAAACAAACATATTTTTCTTCTGGGCCTTACAGTCAAACTTTCAAGAATACAATAAATGTAACTGCATAAAATTTTTGCAAGTCATTATGATAAATTTTAAAACAAACCTTTGCATTTTAGCTGACTTGGAACACATTCATTGACTACGCCATCAGACAGCATCTTGTGTAGTGCATGAACAAGGGTATGAAAGATGTTCAAAACTGTTGGTCGACTGACACAGAATCTATGAGCCAAGTCAATGTCCCGCAGATTGAGTTTTAACTTCACTAGTACAATGAGCAGTTGGTCCTCTGGTTTCATTGGAGTCCAGCCATTATAATAATCGAGTTCAAATCGTTATAACAATCTGACTTAATATTTCAAATATGTCATACTGTAGGGATGTATACAAAAGCATCTGAAAACAAATTTGTTTTAATACTGATTAAAATATTTCCAAAAACTGAAAAGATTGTAAATAAATTAGTTTCAAGTAATAACAATATTAATCACAGTCAGGTTTGCTACTATCCATATTATGCATTTATTCAAAAACTGTTGAAATGAGACATTTAGTGTTCTGATAAAAAATTGTTGTTATAGAGTAAAACATGGTTTATACAGAGAAGGTTTTAGATATCATTCACCCAAAGAGCAAATTAAATGATTTTTTTATGCCCCCGTAAATGAAGTTTCGGGGCATATAGTTTTTGTCGTGTCTGTCTGTCTCTCTTTTTGTCCGCAAAAACTTTAACCTTGTCCGTAACTTTTGATTTAGTGGAGCTGTGACTTTTATATTTCACATGTTTATTCCCTGTGACAAGACCTTTCTTTGGGTACCACCAAATTTGACCTTTTGACCTTGACCTTGGAGTCTGACCCACTTAAACACAAAAATTTTGAACTTTTACTTTGGCCATATCTTTTGAACAATAGAAACCAGGACATTTATATTTCACATATGTATTCTTTGTGAAAAGACCTTTCATTGGATACCAACATCCTTGACCTTTTGACCTTGACCTTGGAGATTTCTGTATCTATGAAAAAACTTTAACCTTAGCTATAACTTTTGAACAATAAGTACTACGGCTTTCATACTTCACATATATAATCCTGATAAAAAAAACCTTTCATTGGATACCAAGAACCTTGACCCTTTGACCTTGACCTTGGAGTTTGACCTACTTTAAAAAAAAACAACATTGACCATAACTTTTGAAGGGTTCGGACTAGGGCATTCATACTTCACAAGTTTATTTCTTGTGGCAAGACCTTTCATTTTATATCAAGAATTTTGACCCTTTGACCTTGACCTTGGAGTTTGACTTGCTTTTTACAAACAATAACTTTGACCATAACTTTTGAACAGTAGGGGCTAGATCTTTCATATTTCATTTGTCTAATTCTTGTGACAAGACCTTTCATTGGATATCAAGAATCTTGACCCTTTGACCTTGACCTTAGAGTTTGACCTACTTTTTTTCAAACTTTTACCTGGTCATAACTTTTGAACGATAAGGGCCAGCGCTTTCATACTTCCCATACGTAATCTTTGAGATAGTCTTTCTTTAGAACCCAACAACCTTGACCCTTTGACCTTGAAACAGAGTTTGTCCTATATTATAAAATGTTAACCTTGGTCATAACCCTGGAACAGGTGTAGCTAGCATTTTATATTTCGCATTTCTTGTGAAAAGGCCTTACTTTTGGTACCAACATATTTGATCTGCATTTGAAAAAGCTTAACCTTCGCTATGTTGCCATATGGGGGCATCAGTGTTTCACAAACACATCTTGTTCTCTGTTATTTTAAATTGCATATTATGAACTCAACAATAATAACAAAATATGTTAACATAACAGTCAATCTAAGATGTTCATCCCTCAACGGCAATAAATTTTACTGAAATTGTTAGGAAATAGAAAATCACAATTGGAATTCCTTTAAATGTACCTTCTCTTTGTTGTCTTTAATATCGTGAATTGACATTGGCTTCCTTTAACTAGACTCTATTTTTAGGGCAAGCAATTCCTTTTCCAGTTGTTGTATTTCTGTTGAGAGGCGCTGCATTTCTTAAGTACAGTTAAATGTGCCGGATGCTGAGTAGTTGTGCTCCGATATCAACTGAAAATATATTGTAAATCATGAGTAATTCGATGTACAGTTAAAGGAACTGTTATATTATTAAATTTAAAAATTATTGAAAATCTTTCAGTGTTGGTCATTTGTCATCAATGGTGTTTTAAATGAGCTTTACTTTTTCTTGATCTTGACATTTTGGTGCTTGTGGAATCTGCAACTGGTCCATCTGTGAAGATGACAGGGACTCCTCACTTTTGAGTTTTTTCCTCCTTTGTAAAATAATTAAACTTGAATTATTTTTTATGCCCCCGTAAATGAAGTTTCGGGGGCATATAGTTTTTGTCGTGTCTGTCTGTCTGTCTCTCTGTTTGTCTGTTTGTCCGCAAAAACTTTAACCTTGCCCATAACTTTTGAATTAGTGGAGCTATGACTTTCATATTTCATATGTATATTCCTTGTGACAAGATCTTTCTTTAGGTACCACCAAATTTGACCTTTTGACCTTGCCCTTGAGTTTGACCCACTTTTACATGAAAATTTTAAAATTTTACTTTGGCCATATCTTTTGAACAGTAGACACTAGGACATTTATACTTCACATATGTAAAGTTTGTTAAAAGACCTTTCACTGAATACCAACAACCTTGACCCTTTGACCTTGACCTTGTAGATTTTTGTACTAGTGAAAAAACTCTAACCTTGGCCATAACTTTTGAACGGTAAAAGATAGGGCTTTCATACTTCATATATGTAATTCTTGTGAGAAGACCCTTCATTGGATACCAAGAACTTGGACCCTTTGACCTTGACCTTTGAGATTGACCCACTTACTTTTACATGAAAATTTTAAAATTTTACTTTGGCCATATCTTTTGAATAGTAGACACCAGGACATTTATACTTCACATATGTAATGTTTGTTAAAAGACCTTTTACTGAATACCATCAACCTTGACCCTTTGACCTTGTAGATTTTTGTACTAGTGAAAAAACTCTAACCTTGGCCATAACTTTTGAACGGTAAGGGATACGGCTTTCATACTTCATGTATGTAATTCTTGTGAGATGACCCTTAATTGGATACCAAGAACTTGGACCTTTTGACCTTGACCTTTGAGACTGACCTACTTTAAAAAAGCAAACCTTGACCATAACTTTTAAAGAGTTAGGGCTAGTGCTTTCATACTTTACATATTTGATCCTTATGACAAGACCTTTCATTTTATAACAATAATTTTGACCCATTGACCTTGACCTTGGAGTTTGACCTCCTTTTTCAGAAATTGAACTTTGACCATAACTTCTGAACGGTTACGGCTAGGGCTTTCATGCTCTACATAAGTATTTTATGTGGCAAGACCTTTCATTTGATACTAATTACATTGACCTTTTGACCTTGGAGATTTTTGTACTTATTGAAAAACTTTAACATTAGCTTACTTTCAAATTTCACAATTGTTTTCCAGTGAGAATACCCTAATTTTGGTACCAATTAATTAAATTTGCATTTAAGAAAAGCTTAATCTTTGCTATGTTGCCATACGGGGGCATCAGTGTTTTACAAACACATCTTGTTTATTCAGTTGTAAGCTACTCTGTTTATACATGTACCCTTTTAAAGATTTTTAGTAAAATATTCTCAATTAAACTCCACCCACCACCATCCAAAAACAAGATGTCGGTCATATTTTGAAAAATAACTTCACCTTTTTGTACATTCAGGATCAGAGAAATCCATGGCCTTTCCTTCATTCCGTGCAAAATATGCAGGGTCCCCCTCCTTCTTACCACCCTTTAAGTGGCAGGAGCAGATGCTATCATTTTGATCTCCTGGTTGGCGATCAGCTCGTCTAAAAATATATTATACAAAGACTGAGTGAAGGAGAATTAAAAAGCAAAACATGTTCATTTGGCATGTTATTATCAAATCATAGCCTAAATGACTTATTTTTTTCATTATTTTATTAAATGTTACATTTACTTGCAAGTACAAGATAACCATGTGCATAACATTAACAAACGGTAGCAGTACTTGGTAGTAATAATACGAAATAAAATGCAATAAAAACAGCTGTTAAACAAAAATTAACCTTGTTACAAATTGCACAGTTTTTGTAGTATTTACTCTTCATTATTCTTCTGCTATATTCATTAATTACGACGACAATTAACTTTTTAGCATGTAACGTTATGTATAAATATCTGACAATGCAGCATCGTCACATATCGTTACAAGTACCTACAAATTTTGTCAATATTTCTACGTTTACTGAGTATTTTCCCTAGCAGGCCGAAATATCTCCATTATGTCACAAGGGTCAACATTCGTGCATCTCGTGATTAGTGCTGTAATAAACAAACTGACTGACTGTTTTTTTTTCTCACCAGCTGCATAGTTTTCCCAATCGCTCCAGCTACTTTCGTTATTTCTAACCAATGAAAATTGTCCTTACTTTCTAATAAAACTGTTGCGTCATATTGCACGCATCACTGAATTGTAGAACACACATCACAAGATTTCGAATATGCATCACAAGATTATCAAACAAACATCACAAGATTATTGAACATACATCACAAGATTTCGAATATACATCACAAGATATTGAATATAAATCACAAGATTTTGAACATATATCACAAGATTATAGAATATACATCACAAGATTTCGAATATACATCACAAGATATTGAATATACATCACAAGATTATAGAATATACATCACAAGATTATAGAATATACATCACAAGATTTCGAATATACATCACAAGATTTTGAATATACATCACAAGATTTCGAACATACATCACAAGATTTTGAATATACATCACAAGATTTTGAATATACATCACAAGATTTCGAACATACATCACAAGATTTTGAATATACATCACATGATTTTGAATATACATCACAAGATTTCGAACATACATCACAAGATTTTGAATATACATCACAAGATTTCGAACATACATCACAAGATTTTGAATATACATCACAAGATTTCGAGCATACATCACAAGATTTCGAATATACATCACAAGATATTGAATATACATCACAAGATTTCGAACATACATCACAAGATTTCGAACATACATCACAAGATTTTGAATATACATCACAAGATTTCGAACATTCATCACAAGATTTTGAATAAACATCACAAGATTTCGAACATACATCACAAGATTTCGAATATACATCACAAGATATTGAATATACATCACAAGATTATAGAATATACATCACAAGATTTCGAATATACATCACAAGATTTTGAATATACATCACAAGATTTCGAACATACATCACAAGATATTTAATATACATCACAAGATTTTGAATAAACATCACAAGATTTTGAATATACATCACAAGATTTTGAATATACATCACAAGATTTCGAACATACATCACAAGATTTTGAATATACATCACAAGATTTCGAACATACATCACAAGATTTCGAATATACATCACAAGATATTGAATATACATCACAAGATTATAGAATATACATCACAAGATTATAGAATATACATCACAAGATTTCGAACATACATCACAAGATTTTGAATATACATCACAAGATTTCGAGCATACATCACAAGATTTCGAATATACATCACAAGATATTGAATATACATCACAAGATTTCGAACATACATCACAAGATTTCGAACATACATCACAAGATTTTGAATATACATCACAAGATTTCGAACATTCATCACAAGATTTTGAATAAACATCACAAGATTTCGAACATACATCACAAGATTTCGAATATACATCACAAGATATTGAATATACATCACAAGATTATAGAATATACATCACAAGATTTCGAATATACATCACAAGATTTTGAATATACATCACAAGATTTCGAACATACATCACACGATTTTGAATATACATCACAAGATTTTGAATAAACATCACAAGATTTCGAACATACATCACAAGATTTCGAATATACATCACAAGATATTGAATATACATCACAAGATTATAGAATATACATCACAAGATTTCGAATATACATCACAAGATTTCGAACATTCATCACAAGATTTTGAAAATACATCACAAGATTTCGAACATACATCACAAGATTTTGAATATACATCACAAGATTTTGAATATACATCACAAGATTTCGAACATACATCACAAGATTTTGAATATACATCACAAGATTTCGAACATACATCACAAGATTTCGAATATACATCACAAGATATTGAATATACATCACAAGATTTCGAACATACATCACAAGATTTCGAACATACATCACAAGATTTTGAATATACATCACAAGATTTCGAACATTCATCACAAGATTTTGAATATACATCACAAGATTTCGAACATACATCACAAGATTTCGAATATACATCACAAGATATTTAATATACATCACAAGATTATAGAATATACATCACAAGATTTCGAATATACATCACAAGATTTTGAATATACATCACAAGATTTCGAACATACATCACAAGATTTTGAATATACATCACAAGATTTTGAATATACATCACAAGATTTCGAACATACATCACAAGATTTTGAATATACATCACAAGATTTCGAACATACATCACAAGATTTTGAATATACATCACAAGATTTCGAGCATACATCACAAGATTTTGAATATACATCACAAGATTATCGAATATAGCAACGTTTGACATGCCATACACGGATGCGTCTACAATAATGAATGTGATACATTCAATTCACTGTGGATTATATGTGCCTTTTAATGTTGAACTTTTCATGGAGATCTTGTAAACTCAAAAATGTCCCAATTTCATCAAGCAAATCGTTGATAAATATTGTGAAGAAAATAGACTTTTATTTCCAATTTTATTTTTATCGTATTATTGAACCAAATTGGTTAAGTAACAAATTCTTCCTATTTTTTTATCTTCATTGATGTAATCTAATCCAGTTTAAAACATTTTGTTTGAATTCAAAGTTGTATTTAATAAAATTTTCCATTTGGAATTTTGACTGATCAGTACGCAGGTATGTTAAGGTTACGACCAAATATTTTACTTGCCTATATGATATGACGTCAAATGAGCTATATGACGTGAAGTTTAGAGATATTAATTTCTTAAAATCGATATCTAAGATTGATTTGAAATCGTTAAAATGAATCAAAATATACAGAGCCATAATATGAATGGAATCATGTCGTTTCTTGGTCTCTGTAGTTATCACAGGGGTGAAATACCAATCCTATGACGTCATAACTGTTGATCATGCAGTAGCAGAGTGAAAGTGAAACGTAACGAGAATTCATGTAAACAGACACAAGAAATCGGAGTTTAAAAGCAATTAGAATGAATATCATGTGTGATTCATGTGGGAATAAAACTTTTCACTTTTTCATTAAGGCATATTTTCTAATTATAGACCTCACATGGTGACGTCGTGGTGATGTGCTTCCGGTAGTATAAGTCCAATTGAAGTCTATAGAATGCATAATTATAGCAAAAGTTTTATCATTGACTTTTCCGATTTATTAGTGTTACATAATTATAAAAAAGTTTTAATTCGCCGAATTCTGATCAATGTGCTGCTTTAACAAACCCGCGTAATCTATAAATCCATAATGATGTTTCAGACCTTTTATATAATTATTGATTACAATCATTTCAAGGCCTTCATTTGGAAAGTCTTGAGTAATTGTTTTGTTGTTTTCTATTTTATTTTATCCACCTTAGATTTCCCAAGAAATCAAACAAAATTTTGTTCAAATCTTTTACTAATTTGCTAGAAAGTGTTGGTAGAGAGATACAAAGATGGATCATTTGTGAGATAAGTCCAGATAAGTTGTGAGATACCCTGCCTATAAGAGTGGTACATGTATGCCTTACAATCATTAAAAAATCGGGATGACACTGTAATCAAGAAAGCAGACAAAGGCTCTACAGTTGTAGTACTGTATAAAGAGACTTACATGGCAGAGGCCCAAAGACAACTCTCAGACAAACGTTTCTATAAGAAACTGGACTCTGACCCTACTAAAGAATTCTCCACCGCCATTACTAAAACTCTTGACGATATGTGTGAGAAAAATGAGATTGGTATCAACGTCTATGAGACCTTAAATTCTATTGACTGTAGACCAGGACAATTCTATCTGCTTCCTAAAATACACAAAGAAGGCATGCCAGGTCGCCCCATAGTCAGTGCAATTGGACACCCCATGGAGAATCTTTGTACCCCAATATTCCGCACGATGAGGGTATCGAAGCCTGTAGAGAAGTCTGGGATAGTAGATCTATACAAATTCCTTCTACCGAGTCCCTTGCCAAGCTCCTTGAACATGTTCTCAAGTTAAACAACTTCATGTTTAACGGAGAACATTACCTGCAGGTTAATGGCACTGCTATGGGTACGAAAATTGCACCGTCTTATGCCAATGTCTTCATGGGCAGACTGGAACGCAACTTGTTACTTCAAGCACCATTTACGCCCTATACCTGGTTGCGTTTCATTGACGATACAGAGATGAAGTCTGTGGAATGTCGTGAGAGCCTCGAGGCATTCATTACGTTTGCCAACACCTTTCAATAGTCGATCAAATTTACAGTAGACGTATCTAATTCGAAAAACGTATTTCTAGATACTACATCTACCCAAATTGATGGTGAAATCGAATTCAGTCTCTACACCAAACCAACAGACTCCCACCTATATCTTATGCCCACTAGCTGTCATCCCCCGCACACTTTTAAGGGAGTGCCTTAGGGTCTAGCCACCAGAATTCGACGCTTCTGTTCGTCCCCTGCCTTATATCAGGAGCAAAGTGGTCTTCTTAAGTCCCACTTATGCAAAAGAGGCTAAAATGCCCGCACCGTACAAACAGCTATTGATGAGATGGCGGGACATGACAGGCAAAACCTATTACGCTACAAGGAGAAAGACAATAGCAGCAGGGTCCCTCTGGTAACCACATACCATCCCGTCCTTAAGAACCTTAGCGGTATCCTTCAAAAGAACCTACCAATTCTTCATTCAAACAAACGAATGGCAGAGGTCTTTAAGTAACCCCCGTTGGCTGCATACAGACGCCCAAGGAACCTAAAGGACATGGTAGTAAGAACCAGACTGGACAACCCATTACCTAACGGGGGCTTTAAAACTTGCTCTGACAGAAGATGTCTTCTTTTTAAGCACAGCACTGACACAGACACTTTTAACAGCCCTGTTACAGGCCGCAGCTACAAAATACTAGGGATTTGTCCTGTCATACTGACAACTGCATTTATTTCATCAGTCGCAAAGTTTGCTGCAAACAGTATATTGGTGAAACAGGAGATCTCCGCAGGAGAGTCAATAATTACCGTTCGACCATTAGGACCAAAAAACTCAATGAACCCGTTGGGGAACATTTCAACCTTGAGGGTCACAAATGGGAAGACATGACAGTAGTGGTGATTGACCATAACCCAAGATGGACAGACGCTCAGAGAAAAAGCAAAGAAAAGTTCTGGATGCATAGATTGAAGTCATTCCGCCCTAATGGTATTAACAAACTGAATGACTTCACCACTCTCTACCATCGGCTCGTACATTCACCTCTATCGTTGGCTTGCGCATACACAGTGTTAAACACGAGAAATAGTGCGTTTCTTTAAATTTGTTATAATTGAATTTCTATGCTTATGTCTGAGTTTTGAGATGGATATTTACTAAATCAATCCAGAACTATCAATTTGAATTCAAATAATCATTCAAATATCACGTTTTATACGTTATGTCAAAAATCTTGACGTGAGCCCATTGCAGAGGTGTCTGAGAGAGTAACAAACGACAACTCTACATGGGAGATTGTGACTTCACCAGAATGAACGTAAATTAGACCCAATTCCTGATGATACTTAACAAGATTTTCTCTCAATTTAGTGTAAACTCTACGGTTAATTTGCGTCACCAACTCTCGAACAATCCACATAACTATACATTGCTTACGTCTTTATTAATTATTTTTTTCCCGATCATAAGACCTAAAATATTTTAAAATTTATAATGGATCATAATTAATATGTAAAAATATCCGTGCTATATTATTTTTCTTTGATTATTCTTTATCAAATATAGTTACGCCATTTTGATAGAATGAAACAATGTACGATTACTGATTGTCATAATTAATTAGCTTAATTAATTCTTTCAATTATGTAAATCGCACTTCACCCGAGTATACCCGATAGATCGGACGTATTTCATAGCGGTCCGGATTTCTTTCTTGAATATTGTTCTTAAAAATTTCCAATTCAACATGTAACTAAGCATGTACTAAATATACTGTGTTTAGTAGTTTGTAGTAGTAGTACTAGTTGTTTTTGTTTCTCTTATTCCTTTGTTCTTATGACTTTTTAACATTTTTCTTTGTCCTGGGGAAGGGACAGGGCGTCCCGAAAATTTGACAATTTTTATTATTCGTGTCGTTGGTCATTTTTAGCTCTTTATATAAATTTCCATCCGTGACCTTGTATCTACTTGGTATATGCACTGACGACACCGCAAATGTAATAAAACAATATGTAATAAAACAAAATAAAATTAATATTTTTGATATTGCGTTTGACAAAAAAGATCATAAATATGATTCAAATATACATGTAACCAACATGGGAAACACGCTGTAAAATATTCATAACTAAAACAATAAGACGAACGTTAGGGCTTTTTCCCAGACATCAAATGGTATTGTTTTTCTGACTCTGATTTTAGTTATATTGAATACACTTTGCTTAATTAATTAACTTTGATTGGCATATTTTTGATAGTCTCATTAAATTTCTAACCAATAAAACATATTTAATTAACAAAGATTGATCATGGGTTCATTAAAAGCTCTTGATATGCATTTTCGGAACGTATACATTGGTTAACAAATGAATAGAAGTGTATGTGTGTGTCAAGCGAGGATCGGAGGGGCAGGGCTAGGGCGGGATGTTTACTTCGTATGTTTATTACTGTATTACTGTGGACATGCAGAAACAATTCGTTTTATTATAGGATGGAAAGAAAGAGAGAGAGGGAATTCTGATTTTGCTGGTCTGCAAAGTTGGAGATTTGCATGGAACAGTATGGTATTATTATTGTCAATAAACCCCTTTCCGCTATACATTTACACCTGCTAGTACAAATGAATTAATTTTTTTTTTTAGATCAATTGCATTTGCCTATAAAAATACAAAAGCACACTGGTCAATACCCCCAAAAACCCTGCCCACAGATGCACGTTTCTAATTTGCAACACATTTTATATGAATACATTTATTAAACTGATTTAAAAAACATGTCATTAATATAATCAATATATTATAAAATTTATTAATTGTAAAAATTGATTTATTTATTTATTTATTTTTTTTTTTTGGTTTTATTTTCTTTTCATCGGCCACAACACTATTGAAAATTGCACTCAATCTCGTCGACGAAAAAATGTGTTGTTACATTTTGCGTTCCTGCCTTTTGCTTAATCTCGACGCAAAATGTAACAACGCAAAATGTTATAATCCAAAAATCGTGTTACTACATTTTGCGTTATTACATTTTGCGTTGATATCGACGCAAAATGTAATAACGCGAAATGGAATAATTCTCCAAAATGTGTTGTTACATTTTGCGTTATTAAATTCTGCGTTGATTTCGAGGCAAAATGTCATAACGCGAAATGTAATAATCCAGGTTTATTACATCTGGCGTTGTTATTTACATTTGGCGTTGTAACAAGACCTCAATAATTGTAAGATTAACTTTCAATTTATTCTAAATACCGGTATGCAGTATAAACTACATTGATAAATATTGTGGGTTGGATTTTAGTATCAAGTTCAAATGTAAAATAAGTAAATCTCATTAATTTATTCTTCCATTTTCATTCCAGACTCGATGACAATGAAATAGTAATAATGGAAAATTTTTATTCAATCGATGAAAAACGTGATTTACAGTCATCGTATCGTAACACAGATAGTGTGCTAACACATTGAATATGACCGTTACGGCATTATGAAAACTTGTATTTGCAGAGTTATAGAAGAAATTAGACAAAATATGAAAAAAAAAATTAATAAAAAAACTTTTGCATTAATTAGCATTTGTTTAAAAAAACTGATTCACTCATCCAAATCGAGGGCCTTTTCAAAGTCGGGTTTAAAGTAATTTTTTTGGTAGCTGGCTATAAAAAGAAGTCGGTTCACTTTACGCAAAAAAGGCCCTGTAGAAATACCGATCGATTGATTTAAACTTGATCTTCTATTTGAAGCACTGAAACAAAGTAGAGATTGGTGCTTTCATATCCTATTAAATTTTTTTCTCCTCAGAGTCCAGGTCTTGGGGAAATGGCTTTATGAATTCGCAATGTTCTTAATTTTTTAGGTAAACAGGTATAATTGAGTACTTTCAGTGGAGAAAAATAATATGAGCGCACTCTCTGATCTAAAAATTAAAATATGTCCAATAATCCTCAGAAACAGTTCTATCATTTACTAGTTGCATATTTTAGATCAGAGGTTGCGCTCTATATTAAATATCAAAAAAAGCTTAAAAAATTGGCCGTTTTTGTAGACTTTTTCTGAATATAAGGAAATTGACGCATTTCGTGACGTCATAGTGCATGGACTAGTCAGAAAATGACGTCATGTTTTATAGGATTGCAGTCACCAAAGATCTAAGTGATATTTGAATGCATTGTTAACTAAAACTATGCAGTTTCAGTTTTTCAGAAATTCACAGGGCCAAATAAGGCAAAAGTGAACCTTGTTCTTTAAGAAATTTCGTAATATATATATATATATATATATATATATATATATATATATATATATATATATATATATATATATATATATATATATATATATATATATATATATATATATATATATATAGAAACATATTTTCAGAAAAAAAAAATTATTTATTCTAATTTTTATTTATTCATTTATTCATTTTTAATTATTTAACCCTTATGTAGATTTTTCAAAACTATGGAATATAACTTAGATTTTTCACTAAAACTGTCGACTAATACTGTACTACAATTACATCGGGATCGAAGTCGGGCTCGAAAAGCAATTAATTTAAACAACACACCGCGCCGAAATTCAATTTTTTGGGGGTTCCACACAGCCATGTTGAACTTGATCATGATGTTGTACAGAAGGAAAGTGCGAAAGAGTGTGTCGCGAAAAGGAGAAGCATGATTAGCTTTGGATGGAATTTTTGTTTTGACAGAAGATGAAGACATTTAACGACCCTGTACTGCGGTAGGAACAATGTACAAAATTTTATCATGTGTCCTTGAATGAATAATTGCTTCTG